ATGGAAATTTACAAAAAAAAAAAAAGGTTCTAAAATGCTCCGCCTAGGCGGGACAATGCGCCAAAATGCGAGCCTAGGCGGCGAATTTTAGAACACAAACGCATTTTTACCTCCCATTTCACCAATTCGACGCGTTTCGCCGCGCCTAGGCGGCACATTTTGGCGCCTTTTCGAACACTGATTTTGAAAGATTAAAAATTATTACGCTCGTGTTTCGCCCCAACTTTTAAAAATTAATTTTTCTTAATCACATGTGTTATGGGATTCACAATTTTTATAAATTTTTTAACTATACATTTAATCAATTTTTATCAAAAAATACTAAAAATCTGATTTTTAACCAAAGTTTAAACAATGACTGATTTTTATAAAAATTTTAACTATACATTTAATCAAATTTTATCAAAATTTACTAAAAATCTGATTTTAATCAATGTTCAAACATGGACGGTTTTTAAAGAATTTTGATTGAACTTTAATGTAAATCGATATTCTAAAGAATGAACGATATGTTGATCTCGTCTCGTGTTGGTCTTGAAGTTTTACTCCTAAAAATTAAGCTTTTTGTACATTTTGATTGACATTCAACAATGTGTAAAAATCACTGTCAACAATTGTTTTAAGTTTTGTTCAAATTAATGGTAAAATCATGTGTCATGTTATGAGATGTAAACAAAATTGTCAACCGAGATATATAAATGTAACGAAATTGTACTCTAATTAGTTGACCATGCACTGAGCTATGGTTGGTTACCTAGATCTACAACCATTTCTTTAATGTATATGGTACAACACGGTTGTAATTTTGATTTACCCCTTAGTCATTGTCCAACCAAAAGTTGATTTTTTAATCCACTTATTTCGTAGTCAAATTTCCAAATGTTTCTTTTTTGCATGGATTATAGGGATGGACATGGTTCGATTCGGTTCTGAAGATATTCGAATCGAACCGAACCAAAATTTACGAGTATTTAATAAATGGAACAGTCGATCCAAATATAATTATGGAACCGTTCTAGTTCAGTTTCGTTCAATTTCATACCATAATTAGATTTTTTAACATTTACAACAATATTACATAAATACAACTAATGACTTGTTCATTCGTAGCATTTACAAATTAAATGAACTATCAACATTAAAAATTTTAAATTCCATCTAGTAGGAACATCTAAAATAGCAAGTTTTTTGCATACAATCTTTTCTCTTTCAATACAACATTTATATTTCATCAATCGGGAAGGAGATGATCGAAAATATCGGATGAAAGTACGAAATTGGAAGGGGAATGATAAAAATTTAAAAATGCCTAGATCTTGGGCTTAACAATGAAATTAATAATTGGGCAAAAAAAATTAAAACAAAAAATTGAACTTAGAAATTGGGTTGGGCTGGGTTAGAGAGGCATGGACTTGGTTTGGGAGTTGAAACATTAATCACAAAATTAGTTAATTAGTTAATTTATTTTTTAAAAATAAAATAATTTAATTAATTAAATATAAAAAAATTAAAAAATTATTTAGATTCGATTCTTATTCGGTTCTTGGTCTAGAATCGAGAACCGAATCAAACCCATTGATTCTCGATTCAGATACTCGTTCGGGTATTTAATTTATGAAGAACCGTTCGATTCGATTCGATTCGGTTCAGTTCGATTCGGGAATGTACTCTAATTAGCTGACTATGCACTAATTTATGGTTGGTTACCTAGATCTACAACCATTTCTTTAATGTATACTAGTTATGGCCGTGCAATGC